TTCGAGACGGGGGGACCGTGATACCGGATAGCCGAAACTCATTACGCCACCGCCTCGACTTACCCTCTTTGAGAAATAGAACTGACCCCTCCCTCTCCGCCATCTCATCAAGCTTTTTTCTTTTATTCTTTCCTTGCCCACCGCCACCTTCCGACTAGCCAGTTTCTTTTTTCCCCCCATTTTTATCTATCATCTTCGGTGTCTAGACTCTTGAATCATACAAGCGCCGCGGTTTCTAAGGAGGTCTTTGAAATTAAAAAAAAACACTTTTCCTTCTAAATGTAGAGATCGCGAAAGTTATTCATCGAAATGTGAATTCATTGATTCGAAGTAACTTTCCGTTCATAACGCGATGCATTTTCATATGGTTAAAACGAAAATTCAATCAAGCATATATTTCTAGGCAATCATTGGAAATCGTTATTGCGGACGAAAGCTTTTCCGCAATGAGCTTTTTAAAATTTTGTTCTGCATTCTCGCCGCCCGAGAGCAATCAGTGCTCCACACATATCAAAGATCGATTGGAAAATGGAATAGCCTCCACATGAAGACTTCCGAGAAGGGAAACAAGGCTTTTAGCGCTGGCTTGCGCATGGAAGGCAAACGATTTTTCTCGTTAATATTCAGCCGCAAGCGCAGCACTTCTGCCCGCCCTGCCGTCCCGAGACGGGCGACGGTGATGGTGTGGCGTCGAGCAGGATCAGACAATAAAAGCATTCTAAAAAGAGAGTCATTACGATACGCGTGGATATATGTGTATTGTGCTGGGCGCAGCTCAATATTCGAGGCAACCGCGAAAAGTCGCTGCAATTTTCCGCAACAACGAGCTACCGAGATCCACGTGCCCTACCCGCCCCTCAACTACATCCTCCTGTTTTCCTCCGCGTTCTCCATTCATTGTGCATTCCTTCGGCCAATTTTGCCTGGCTATCTCATTTTCCGCACGCCACCCCGTTTATCTCGTCCTCCTTTTTTTTCTCTTCTTTTATTTTGCTGACAGTTTATATCGGTATGGCGGATTGTCCGCAAAGAGCTTGCAAGCTCATTCCGTACGCCATTTTCGCGCTTGAGCTTCCAGAAAAAGGATTGAATACGATCGCTGCTCGCTTTTTCTTTCTATTTCTTTTCTTTTTTTTATCGCTCGAAATAATCAATTGAAGTATTCGCGACGTGTCTCTGTGCCGATTTATTCGCGGTTACTCTTGCTTCACGCATTCTTTTGGTTTCGCACCACTTTTTTCTTTTCAAAGTAGTAGCAACCGACCGTGGCGTAATCGATTCTAGATAATAAATTGGATTCACCGCAAATTTATGGATATTACCACAATGAAGTTGCCTTAGCGTTTCTTTTTCTCTCCCATGCCTTTTTCGACTAGTCTCCTGTACGTCGTTCTTTTTTCATACGTTCGCTCGCACGTACTTTTCTTGTTCGTGGTCCAATGGTTAGTTAGCAAATATAAGGTTATTACGACTTAATGAGTTGTTAGGTCACTTGGCTTTTATTACGCTCATTCTTCTACAGCAATCAATTAGGTGAGCGGTGAAAATTCGTGAAAATTGCGGTAGCTAGAGCATTATATCATATAATGGAAAGTCTCGTACTTGCAACTTTCTCCCTCTCTCTCTCTCTCTACATGTATATATTCCAACCTACATTAATAGCCTTTATGTACATTCATCATCCATTATCACCACCTAAAGTAGCTCGAGAATATTCCTTTTCCGCCTATTATTTTTAGTCCTACTAGTAGCCCATCAATTCTTATAATTATTACTGGTAGTAAATGTTTAATGTTGATTGCTATTGAATATCAATCAATTATCATCATGTCGATGACGATCATGAACCAAACTAACCCATCGATTAATAATCAGTCTAGTCAATATTTATCTCTCCGTCACACAATTTTACCAAAGTTTATGAAATAAATTCTGTAAGCATAGTCCATGAGTGCCTACGATTATACCGCCGCCTCTGAATAATGCAATTTTCCGCATGCTGGCATAAGTGATTGACAGACTGTCGATGTGGCACCTATGGCTTTAAGAATGACGAGCAAGGTGGAAAGAAGAGTTGACAGCATCGTCGATTATAGCACGGCCTATGACGATTTCAATGCTTACTCTCTCTTTGTCTTTTGCATTTTTTCTTTTACACACACGCACACACGTTCGCACATCAGTACACATAGCTATTATTGGAGAAGAATCGGGCTTACCCTTCGATCGCGTGACAGCCGACAGGATACCAGCCGGAAACGTGCATAGGACGTGAGCGGAAGTGAACGCGCTCGCAAATCCATTTGAGGTGCCTTATTAGCGAGCGGTCACTCGATAAATTGCCAGCTACGCGCTCACTTTGCACAGTTCAGTTACCAAGCTCTACCAGGCCAAAAGTTAGGAGGAGACCGTATAATACTATTGCGGGGATGCCGATAATGCGCGTTAAGTATCGGTCATATTCTCCTTTTAGCTCTGCGTAACGATATTATGATCAAACCTTCGATATATAATGCGCAACTTTCTCCTAACTTCAACTTCACTACGCTTTCATCTTGATGCTAGAAGTAATGTAGATTTTTCATTTTAGGAGAGACAAGATTTTTGAAGAATTCCTTACGAGAGCTATTTTTTCTATAAATAAAATAAGAATTATACGACCTAAATGAAGCTACTTGTACAGTAACTTATTCAACACAAATGTTTTCTGTAGTGTCACTAAAATTAGATATTTTCATTCTAGTGAAATTATATATTTTTAGTACTTCAAGTTAATGAATACTAACAAAATTAAATTATCTAGAGTGCAGGAAGCGATTCCATTAAAAAAAATTAGTTGAAAATTTCCATTACTCAAACATGATAAAAGAGAAATTTTTAAAAGAAAAACAAAATCACTTTAAAGTTCTGTAATAAAAAAAAACGTATAAATATGGAAAAACCCGACTACATTTAATTGAACGCTCATTAAGTTAAGTAATCCTGAAGAGTAAAGGAGAGAAAAAAAAGGAAAAAACATTTTTCCCGTACACATCAAAGCCGCGCGGCCACGCGCACAAAAGTATTTTGCAAAGCAGTAGGCTGTGCGCGGGGCATTGCTTTGAGGCGGGCACACGCAGAAGCCTTTGAGTTTTTGCCCGACATCAGGTCTGTTTTGCAGCGAGCAAAAAAGAAAGTGAGAAACAAGGCAAACTTAGAGGTGGAGAACATTCAAGAAGCGAGACGGTAGAAGCCAAATGAATATATAAATCATCTCATCGTGGAGTATTTAGCGCGTCTCGATGGCAATCTCGATGTGGGGGCCGCTCAATTATGATAAATCGCGGCTAATTAGACGAGGAGGCAAGGGGCAGGTAGTCGTGGGCGCGCGTGGTAGTTCGCCATCGTTTAGCCGAGGGGCTCTTTATCTGGCGGCAGCTACCCCCGACCGTTTGAAATATATACAACGAGCGGCGATTTGCATGCGGCCAACTTAATCAGCGCCGACACCTACACGGCCGCCAGCGTTTGCTAATCGCGCGCGCACTCTCTCTCTCTCTCTCTCTCTCTCTCTCTCTTCCTCCGTTGACCCTTCCTCAATGGCTACCTGTATTAAAAGCGCTTTCGTGAGAGCTACTGCCTCTATATTTCGTGCCTCAGCTCACTGCTATCGATAGATCACCTTTGTTCCCCATTTTTTCCTTTTTTCAGAAAAAGCTCGCTGATGATAATGAATTCCCGTGAATATTTTTAACATTAATCGCACAACTTTTCAATCGAATTTCACGACTGTTTTGACAAGTAAAATCATTTGATTTGTCGAGAGAACGAAAATAAAACTTTTTTTCGCAACCCGTGTAGAAAAAACACACGCACAGCCGGATCTAACAAATCAAAGGCCGCAAATCCGTCAAAAGAGAGGGAGCAAAAAAAATAGCTATCCCTCTCCCTTAGCCAGAATACACCATTGTAAGCGAATATCGTTCAGCCGGACGGAAGCGCGATAAATGTAGCGCAAGCGTACGTATATACGCGATCTCATCTATCAGAGCTCGCGCGTACATCCGCATTGCCTTTTGACATTGATTTTATGCTTGAGCCAGAATAATTCCGATTTTCGTGTGTAAACGCAAAATTTGGTATGTATTGAGTTACATATATCACGGAAACGTCGAGTGAACCAAAGTGTGTTTCCACATATGATGACAATCTTCAAAAATTAAAAAAACATATCCCGTTTTTTCTCTACATGCTTTTCTTTGAGGTGATAGGTGGCGATGCTTTAAAAATAAAAATTTAAATAATCTTGCAGGATACATTTTTTGACTATCAATAATCAAATCGACATATTTTAAAGAGTAATATTTTCAATGAGATCTGCTCGTGAAAGATTGCCACATCTCGCCTGTTGTATACATGGATTTATTGTCTGTAATCTCAATGTATAAATTCAAACCCCACGATAGAAATTTTCTCTTTTTATGGAATTGTTGAATGTTCCGGTTATATATCTGAAAAGGAAGATCAATTGTATCTCCAAAACGTCGTAATACAAATAAACATATATCTTTACTCGTACTGATCCTTTGCGTTGTTGTTTACGCAACATTACACTTTCATTCTTATATCATTCTCTTTCAATTATTAAAGTTACAGCTATTTCTTTATATTACAGCGATAGGATTGCATAAAATATTTATAGCGGTGAATTGAAAATGTATAAAGAAATTAAGATAGAGAGAATGCTACCTAGGTATAATGAAATCAAGGTATAAAACAAACAAAGTAGCAGCAAAACATTTACAAATAGAATCAAAATGAAGGGTTTAATAGATGGGAACATTTGTCTAAACATCAGGAGGATTAAAGAAAGTAAGAGCAAGATCTACACATTTTTAAAGTTTCCGATTTGAAATGGCCTGAGAGTCTGTCGACGACTAGCGAGTCGAAGTAATTTATTTGCGCGTACGGCCACAGCCATAAATTCCTCGAATAAAACAGCCTTGTTCACTTGTTCACAGACTCACAACTATTGGTCATCAAAGAAGTTGATATTCCAGCCACTGTGAAAGTTGAGGAGGACTTTGTCATACTTGATTGCGATTATGACCTCCAAAACACCTCGATTAAAGGCCTTGTAGTCAAATGGTATCTTAATGAGATGGATCTCGTCTACCAGTGGATCTACGGTGGTCCACCACAAGCTGTCGCTCCTGTCTTAAAGTACATCGATCTACACTACAAGGCTAGTGATAATAGGACCAAAATGTACCGAGCGATGAAGCTTCGTAGTCCGGATATCGACTTGACTGGCAATTACACGTGCCAGATATCGACCTTTGAAGATGAAGTCTCGGAAAAACGAGCGATGACTGTTTATTGTGAGTATTAATAAGTCTTCCGATTTTTTATTTATTATTTTTATTAAAAATCGTATGGGGCACTGTCGATTCCTAGCTCCCTGTAATACACACCCTTTCAATACATATTTTATAAATACTTCAAGTTTCTCTTATATGATTCATTGCTAGCAAATGAATCACATACATGTTTTTCACTTGAATTATGTTGAATGAATGTGACAAAATACGGTTGTTCGGGACGAGGTGAAAGTAAAGCGATTGTTGTTAGTAGAAATAAGATTTGTATTTATTAATGAACACACACACATGACAGCTGACACCAAACAAATAAATTGAACTCATTTCACAAGCTAAATCGGATATAACAAGTTAGATGCACAGATCATCAAAATCGAGTTTAAAGAGCTTCAAACGCACACGCTTTAATTATCAATGCAACGCCAGTAAAATTAAATATTTAACGGCGGAGAATAAAGAAATACAATGAATAGATACTCTTAGTTACTAAGGGAGGTGGTACTTGGTTGATCTCGTGGAGCTGATCTGTTAGAGCTTGCCACTGCGTCGACTGAGCTACTAAAGCTTTCCCACTCTAGGCCTAAGGGTCGTAGGCGTTGGCCCTTTGGCGTTTTACTAATGACCCATTTTAACCTCGCTATACCACTCCTCGCGCTAGCATGTGATTGGTTAAATTCATGCCGACAATGGCTTGAACCGATATATAAGCTTTGATCGTGATGGCCTGTGTGGCCCGTATCGAACGCTTAGATCGCGTCAATTTATGGCTCATGATAAATGCAAAGATCACGCTATTATCGGGTCCAAATCAATTCGTTTCGATCACGCTGATCTATGACTCAAAAGGGTAGATTGATAAAAGCTCAGTTTCTATCGTTGATAGTTAGTTTCGAAAGTATATCTCCTGATCAGTCCGACTTTCACAGCGAACTTAGATATTAAGTTTTAGCGACGTAAATACACTATGAGAGCTTGCATAAGCGATAGCGTTATATTAATTACTTAAATGTAACGGGTTATATTGATAAATGAAACGATGCTAATGCAAATGATGATACTCGAGTAAATTCTGTAACATTTTACAACTATAACATTTCAGTTTAAAATCATTTGCTCTACTATTGTTTCTAATGCTTCGATCAAATCGAAATTGAAAGGCTCAGTTCGTCTCAGTGCACACTCCTCGTACAAGATCACATACTCATTACACTGATGTGGTTCTCTCAAACGTACGGTTTTGCTTAACATCAAGCTTATAGCTTTATGTATTGCCTTAGTGTCGCAGCTGTGTCCTCCGATTTACAAGTCGATAACGGTAGGAATTTTAGTGACTATTAGATTACATGTCGCAAGATGACCTACAACAAATGTAGACGACGTAGCAAAATTTCAATCATATTACGTTTTAACTAAAAATAATTTCCCAATTGCGCTTCTGAGAATGTTTTTAGAGAGTTTTCTTGACTCTTCATTTGCTCGCTAGTCAGCTTACAATTTTACGACTTCGCAAAGGATGATCCGAGATAGAATAAAAAGGAAAACAAAACGAAAAAACATTTGGTTGCGCGGCATTTTCGTGGCACTCAAGTGATCGGTAATAAACTTTTTGGGTGGTCGTGTCTTAACACAGTGATACTGGACCGGTCAACTATAAATTTAAGTTTAATAACCTAAAGGCACAAATCAAGAACAGAAGAAAAGCGCGATGTCAGAAAGGGAAGAGAAAAAATAAAAAATTGCAACACAGATGAGGCCGATTAAGAAATATTTATTTATTCGTGAATATTTAGAATATTAAGAATGTGATTATCTGGAATAACAATTTAACCTGCAATTTTCAGAAGCGCTTATAAAAACCAACACTGAAAAAACAAAAATTTGTTTGCGAATGGTGAACAAATTTTTACAGCATTCTTGATGCTCTTTGATCGCAAAACGCAAAAAAACTGCATTAATGTGGTATGTGGAACAAGCGAAAAGCGAGGCATTGTTAAACAAGTAGAAATACAGCGATAGAGAGAGCTACAGTGTGCAAGCCGCAAGCCGGATAAAATAATTACGCAGTTCAACAGTTCGACACGGTCGCACAAGCGATGTAGTTCGATTGCTAATGAAGGCCCGCGAGCGTTACAAGCGCCGATAAGATGGCTTGTGCAAAATTGATGTGCTAATGGTGGAAACCGAAGGAACGAGAGCGAGAGGGAGAGAGAGAGAGAGAGAGAGAGAGAGAGACAGACAGACAGAGAGAGAGAGAGAGACAAAGAGATAAAGGCGAAAAGAAACGAAGCTGAATAAAAAGATAACTTAAAATCGTGCAATTTACATTTTAAGTCCTCGCGTAAACCGACAAAAGAATCTAATCGTGTTGAGCGAGGATCGCCAACGTAGTACAAAAGGCAGCTGCGAAAGATTAATTAGTTCGCAAGCTAGAGGAGCGGAAAAATCCTTGAGTGAGAGAGACAGAACGGCTTTTTGTCTTTGCAAGCGACAAGGTGGAAATAGCCGATAACGTTCTGTTAGACTTTTTTCTCCCTCTCTATCGTTGCTGTTATTACGAGAATTGATTAAGCGCCAAAATGTCGAGCCGTTCGTTTATCGATATGACGCTTACCGAATTCGTAAAATCGACAAGCGTTATGGCCTATGATCAATCAATTGCTGCAGCGTCTATTAATACTATTGTTCTTTCTTTCTACCCGTGTCTTTATCGATTTTTCAATCAAAGCTCATGACTTCAGGCAGCTTGATAGATAAAATCAGCCTTTTTTGTTTAGTTACAATTTAAATTAAATAAGGCACTCGTTAATTCTTATTGACTCATATAAAAATGCTCAATTTCATGCCATTATTGTCGAAAGAGTATTTTCATTTGTTCTCTGAGTCTCGTACAATCCATTTGCTAAAATTCCTTTCACTTTTTCCTTTTTCCCGATCACACCTGTCAGTCGCACGTTACAAGCAATGCGACGGATACAACCGCTGACCTGTGATTTCCACAAACGATTTTCTTTTAATCTCATTTAGTGGTCGCTGCTCACTTTAAATTAATCAATTTCAGCGCCAGGAAGGAGGAGACAGGGTGAGCTTTGGATAAAAAGAGAAACTGTGTCAGCCTCGAGTTAACGCAGCGCGTCCGCGCGTAGAAATAGCGGTGTCTCTCTCCCTCCCTCTCTCTCTCTCTCTCTCTCTCTCTCTCTCTCTCTCTCTCTCTGTCTCTCTGCAGGTAAACGGAACTTGGCGTCGCCGCAAACCGCGGAAGTCGAGCGTTCCGGGAAAGTTTACGCAGAGGACAGTAGCAGCTCTCTCTGTGCGCACTACGGCGACCTCTCTCCAATTGATTCATTTCGTTGTCGACATAACTATCGCCGTTTTACGCGAGTTTGCACAAGCTGCCTACGCAAACGAGTGTTATGTTTGTTTATATAAATTGCTCGATATGGAACGTTTAGTCGCTCGCGTGAGTTGGCTTCGGAAAGTGACATTTTGATACATATACACTGTGATCAGGACACTTTATTATTTACAATTCACACGAATTAAGATTTCGATTCAATTAGACTTTACTTTATTTTACTTTGCTCGTTTAAAAATGTTGCTATCTGAAAGAACTGGTATCATTCAATTCACATTTTGTAACTCGATGTGCCGACAAATTAATGGATATGTCTGACGGGCATCTTTGCACAAGTGAGCATAAAGGACCTCAAATTCCGCTGAAATTTACAAAATTTTAACTGAAAATCAAATAATTCCGTAAATTTCAACCCTCGTTCCAAAAGAGGTATTTGAATTTGAAACGGCATGAAAAGTATTATTTGTTTGTATCGAAGCAAAAGTGTGTAGAAGGAGCGTTCTGGTTCCGTCAATAGCGCAAGCCGGAAAAACAGCAATATTTCAGCAATCAGCCCTGTACACACATAACTCTGCAAAGGTCAGCTCAGCGATGCAGTTACGTGCAGCCTGCGCTCGCGCGCGCGTATGTGCGTGCGTGTGTACATTTGAGAGCAGCATGGCAAACGCACCGTTATCAGGCAACGTGCGTTATTTTGAAATACGATTGGTCGTCTGGGCTTGAGTTCCGCTTCGCCAATGTACACGCACTCGCAATAAAATCGACGCGTCAACCTCGTACGTTCGTGGTCTGCTGACTTCACATTTTAATCTACTAGCAAAACAAAGCAAAAATAACATACCTTTCTCGAAAATCGTACTTCGCTGATTTTTTTTATCTATAAAAGTATTGGTATGACTGGTGTTTGCACTCCGTAGTAATATGACAGTAGTCCATGAATAACAGCAATCTCGCTTTTCTTCTCATTTTTTTCCCGAGATTTTTAAGAGGAAAGCAGCCATTAAGGGGTAGACGAAACATCTTTTAAATGCGACGATGTCTCGGGCCGTGCCGACCGATTTTCATCACCTAATGACTGCTCGGCGCGAAAAAATACATCACCGAAAGTGCGAGCGAGAAGGAAGCAAAGGAAGGGCGCGTAATAATACCGTCTGTTGATCTTGATCACGCCTGCGAGCAGAAAGAATAAAAAAAAAGAAGAAGACAAGCAGCGTACCGAGATGGGAAGAGGAACTGTAACGTTGGCGCTAAATGCTCGTTCCTCCGGGAAAAGTAGATGAACGCGGAAGGCGTTGTTCGCGCTCGCGCGCGCGATAAATGAATTCTCGCTGCTCCGTCGGGGCCGCATAATGGTTCTGACGCGCCGCTAGGAGAGGAAGACACTTCTAGTAACAGTTTCAAATTTTTCGTATAATACAACTAGCCAACGGTGCTTTGCAAATCGACAAACATTTATTCCTTTCTAAAACAGCACTTGAATAAGCGTTGCAGTTTTGTGAAAATTTCAGCATTCCGCTGTTTAATTTAAGTTTAATTTATTATTCGCTTGTTTAAGAAACAAGCGAATAATCATTTGTGAAAATTAAAAAATACCTTTCCACCGGAAGTATATAGTTTCTTGTTCTTATTAAAAAATGTTCGTCTTGATGCTTCATGTTTAGATTGTAAATTCGCGATGTTGCTAACGTTGGACAGGGCGTGTAAATCTACAAATGATTATCAAGCTGCCAATGTCTTGATCACGGCCCCCACTATACTGCCCCTCAAGTGAGGTAGGCCGCTCTATCGCCGATTGGGCAGGAATGCCCCGGAGGCGGAGGCACCTCAGAGCGCATTGCGCCTACCATCAGCTAGACCGGATATGCCGTAATCCTTGGTGCAGCACCGCCGGTTCGCCAGGTGGTACAACTCATGATGTCCGCAATCGACGTTCCGCACGAACATAGCGCTAGAAGCATAATTTACAACAGAAAGTAAAAAACACTTTCAACATACATACACCTACACATGATCGTAACAGTATAGAAAGTGCTGTCGATTACAAGCACGGCGTCTACGACTTTGAAATACAATAGTATTCTAACGTGGAAAAGTATACAGTCGAGAGGACTGGCCTGTGCGACTGGATTTCATCAAGAAACTGTCCCAGTCCTATCCCCTGCTCGCTTATAGGGAAGGAGGGGAATAACGCGCTGACCCCCAGAACCCTGTCTTGGGTCCAATCAGCGCAGAGAAAGTAACCCCTCCTGATGAGTCTACGCGCCCGCGACGACACACGTGTTGGGCTTTTTCAAACCTGTCTGGCCACCTGCGCGTTGTCCGAGACAACATACGTGTTAACTTTTCCCCAGACCTGTTGGATACAAAACATTTGAAGGCCAGCTGATTGTTATCAGCTGGAAAATAGCCATAACGACGCGCGTTATCTCGCACATGATGGGTATATACCATGAACACTTGAAGTAAAATAGAGTATGCAGTGGCGATGTCTGACTAAATTTTGATATAACTACTTGAACTCCAATTAACCCTCTAGATTATTCACACATTGTTTGCATCGACAGCATGCTCTTACCAAACTAATAATTTATCTTATTACTCATTACAGCGACCGGCAGGGAAGAGGAGTTCAAATTATGGCATACGAAAATGAGTTACGACGGCGATGATGGTGTTGAAGTGACTTGTCAGGCGTTGGGGCTCTATCCTAAGCCAACTCTCGACATCACTGTCGAGTACGTGAAGAAAGTGTAAAAAAAAGAAGATAGTGAGGAAGAGTAAAAGAGAGACGGAGAGCGACAACGTGTCGTTTACATGCGCTGCTATACGGAAACACCTGTTCGCAATAAAATTGACGCCTAAGCTAACGTTTTCTTTTTTACCTTGCTCGTTTCTTTCACTACATTGGCATTGATTGGAATGAGTTTCGTTAAGTCATTGCTAAAGAAACAAAAAAACCCAATATCGGTTTCAAACACACTTTTTTTTATAAAACTTCATTTTCATACCGTCTCGGACGAGAGAAAAAATACAATGTTTTTTCTTTCGCTAATAAAGTTCAAAATTTAGATTTACTTTTGTAGCAATGAAAAAAAAAGAAGCGTCAATCTTACCACCGTCATTTTGTAGACAGGCAATTTCAATTTTATAGCGTTCCAAAATGGAAGCACGGTGTATCAACTTTTCGGCAACGCCCTCGTAAAATCGCGCTAGAACGTATGGTAGCGCGCAGCTAGTGCAGGAACTCACGAGCAAAGTTAGTTGCGGTTTGCCAGTATCAAAACAGCATCTGCAACTTGCTAATTCGAGTGCGCCGCGTCCCAGTCGTTATTCTACCAGTAAAGAGCTCATAACTATTAAGAACTCGCTCTCGTGCGTTCTCTCTCTGTCTCCCTTTGTCTCTCTCTTACTCTCTCTGTCTCTGTCTCTGTCTCTCTCTTTCTCTCTCAAGCGTGGAGTTGTGAATTTGCGCGAGAAACATTAACCATATAAATTTTATTGCAGAGGTTACCCGGAAATACAATCACCGAGGCCCTTGATTACGGAAACAGAGGATGGACATTACGACATCGTCTCTTATCTTACACTTGAAGATGACGATCTTCCGGATTCCGTTGTTATTAACTGCATACTTGGCATTCCCGCTGTTAACTACAACGCTACCAAGAAAATTGTTCATTACCCTCCGGGTAAGTTGACTTTCTGAATTCCATATAACGAAATTAGTCATCATCAATATACAATGGTTCATGAAACTTTTATAAGTCATCTCAACAGTAACTAAGTACACCGCATAAATGGATCATTGCATGAGCTTTTTTTTATAAAAGCACTTATTTTTATGCACTGAGCATACGACGTTCGCTTGATATTTGTGTATTTTACTCTGGATGTTGAATAATCGAACTAATTCGTGAAATTCAATTATTACTAATTCATTGATAATCGAAGAATTATTGAATATGTAAATAAGTTCTTAACGATTTTTCGATTAACATATAATTTATTGCTCACCTAGCAAACAATGACGAAAGCGAAAAAGCTGAGCTTTTGATTAATGCTTTTTCATTAACTTCTGAGAGGTACAACTTGAAACGGTTAAAAGAAACGTCGTTGAGCTGAGAATAAATAGACAGGAGGGGGGGGGGGGGGGATTTCATTTATTCTCAGTCGGGCTATCGGTTAGCGAAATCTGTCGACTTTAAGAGCCGAGGAAATCCATGAAACGACTAGCAGGTGACTCGCGTGATCGATGGAGCTAGCTACTGACTTCCGCAGTCGATTTGTAAAACTGATCAATTTCGATACATATGCTGTAAACTCAATACACGTGGAAAGCATTTATCACAGCGTCATCGTATGTTACAAGCGAATAAAAAAATGTCACGCACGCATTGATCTTTTAGAAATTTAGTTCAGTTTTTATTTGCTTGAAATTTCACACAAACAACAGTGGTGTTTTTATATGTGGACTGAAAGATAAAGAAGAGATAGATAGTGAGTGCGTATCTATGCTTAGTTGATGGACATGCGGTATGTGGTGTTTGTTGTGCAGGAAGGTCGACTACCACCGCTACCGCGATAACTGTCGGCGGCACGACGAAGCTCCTGCGAAAAATGGAGATCCAGGCACTTGACAATTCACAAGCTGACGCTAGCAGTGGTGGCGGTAAGACTGTGTTACCATGCAAAACTCTTTCACCCAGCCCGCCGACCCCACCCTCTTTTTCTGACTCTAGCTACTCTTTATTGTTTGCGCCTTCTCCCACAAATTTATCGTCACTTTGCATTTTATCGCGCGCACACCAGCCTGACGCACTTGTGCATTTATTCCGCGAACAAGTAAGACCCCACACTCGTTGCAAATGTTTCACTGCTGCACACAATTCCGATTTATCCTGTTGATGGACGTTTTCTTTCCTCTTTTCTTCTCTTTCTTCTGTTCACCTGCCATCCAATCCATTAGCACTCGTGGCTTTTAAACTTTCTCTTTTCTTTTGCGTTTTCTTGCTTCTTTGCCTTCGAGTCTCTCGTGTGTCAGACAGCGGTGGTGTCATACTCGAGTCAAACCAATCACCGGCTAGGCGGACCTTTGTCGCGCGCGCGCGCGGCTATTCTCCGCCCCCTTTTCTCGACGCTTGCGACTAGTCTCGCCGGAACTCTGATTGAAAGAGTAAGAAAGAATGAACGTGCTTACACTCGAAAGTGCACGTAACGCGCGAAGAATTGGAATTTCAATAGCCAAGTGCTTGGAATCCGCGTGTGTGGCGTGAATCGATGCTGCGAAGCAAAGAGATAACGAAATCTTTTGGCGTGATGCATCTCCTCTTCAAAATCAACATCATCTTACAGATACAGATGAATTTTACTCGGTGAATTCATTTGATTATTGATAGGTAAACTCATTAACCAACAATAAATCACTTCAAGTCTTGTGAGTAAACTTGATATCGCTCATTAGATTAAAAATAATTTAGTTTCAGTACGACCCATTTTGAAGTATATGTAAAATATGAAAATCGATTAGTTATCTGCGAACCTAATGCAATAAATAGACGTAGCTAAACAGGTGATTGAGAATAATTCATACCACATTGACCGGACTAAATTATATTTGAATCGGGTAAAACTCTGTGATCATTCCCATGCGAATTATTAAAGTGCATAATTGTATAAACAATTAAAAGGAAAAGATAAAGTAAAAGCGCACACGAGCTAAACCCTGAAAAGGGCCTTGAGTCTGATCCTAGACGAAATGAAGTCGGAAAGGAAGTGTTTCTTATCTTAATTATAGATTGCTGGCGTTCGTCGCGCCCTCGCAAATGTAAGTGCGCAAGGGGTAGGACGAAGGAAGGTAGTATGGTTCGCAAGGCACCCTGAGGTCTAATTAACATAAGTACCAATGCTAATTAAGTCGAAGCAGGGCGATGATCGTTCAAAAAGACAGTCTGAATCCGATTGCGGCCCGAAGAAATTGCACTGCGCGTCATTGCAAAGTTGCGTATTTGGTAATGGCTGTTGAACTGAAGTTAGTCGACGCGGCGCAGAGCTTTTATCCACGACGGAAGCTTCCTCGAATATAAAGCAAGTGCCATTTCGAATTTCTGGTGAACGTTGAATATTAAAACCATCTTCTCTCTCTCTCTCCCTCTCTCTCTCACTCGCGTTTACTTCCCTACTTCATTCTCTTCTCCTTTTTTTGCCCTCCCTCCCCATTCTTCTTCTAGCATAAAATCAAAGTCGTCGTTCCGTCTGATGCGAGTACTATTGCCAACCGAGGTAGATGTCGAGAGGGTATTTAATTATTCAAACTTTCCTACCTGCTCTAGGCTATTCAAGACTTTTATTAAAGTATGTTTCGCTGCGTCCTTAATTTTTTATCAGTGTATTAATCTCTAAATTGTACATATTTTCCATAACTTTAAGTTGAGAAACAGTTTCGTTACGACAATTATGAAAATTAAGTAGTAAGGCATTGAAACTGAAGAAATATGAAAGCAGAAAACGAGTTCGCCCAGAACTCAATTAGTACTGCTTTTCATTTCAATGCACTAGTATAACGAAGAAGTTAAGCTTTCCAATGAAGACAAAAATCTATGGAGTTGTAAAAACTTTCAATAGAAATTATAAATACACGATTAACCAGGCTTACCGTGAAAAAGAGTCAACAGTTTTAAACAAAGTGAAAGAGAAAATTTCACAAGTCGAAATTCGAATTGATAAATATCAAATACAATAAACGGTAAAATTGTATCACTTTGATAAGTGATAGAAAAATGCACGACTGCTGATAATGTAGCTCTCGATAATGGAAAGAGAGGTGGCTTGCGTGCAGTTTATAAGCCATTCAAGGCAGAACAGAGGGACGCTGCCTGCAGAGTTTAGGAAGAGGGACGAGATATGAAGGATCGCCCGCACATAGCTTATCATCGAAAATCGCGACTGCTGGCTTTGACAGTAAATCGATGAGCGCGTTTCTCGCTATAGCGGAACACATAGGGACTCAACTCTCACCAGCATCGTGAGTCCTTCGTTCAGTACATAAACGATACGCTAGCGGCTTATCTTCGCATATACGTAGTTACCGTGCTCAGACTATCGCTGCGTTTGATGTACTTCAGAAAAGTTGCGCTTGTGCTGATGAGGCCTATGCTATTAGGAACGTTCTAACTTTGTTGGGCAATTCCCAATTTCAAAAACGTAACACGTGGTGAATCGTTGGCAAAGGAATTTTTATAGACGAATAAGACTAACAAATGTGCTCGCGATAAAAATAAAGATCGCCAATTGAGAATCTCGGCAAATTGTCGTTCTCTCGCGAGAATAAAGTGAGAAAGAGGAAAAAGGAGGGCTAGAAAAAGGGGTCACGTCCCTCGATCATTGTGTACGATTTGCGCAAGTGGCCGACTACGGCGCTATTGGCCGTAACGCTAACTCATCGTTAGCGCAGGTTGGCGATTGTCACTAGGCGTTAAATTTGGTCCACGCGCACTCGCGAGCAGATTGTCCATAAAATAATTAAGAAGCGCCGCCCGCGGCGACCAGTAGCCCATTTTCTGAAGGTAATACGTGGCAAACGTATCTTTATGGGCACCTCAAAAGAAAATACCTAGCCTCGGGTCAAAAATTCTCTTTACGACGAATCATTTGCTTCGAGCGCAAGCTTGCTTATACATATATAACATCTACTCGTATATCGTGTGCGAGTACGCGTGATCGGAGAGGGGTTGGACTTTGATATCAATTTTTTCACTATCCGTACACTCAGCTAAATAAATAAATATATATATATATATATATATATATATATATATATATATATATATATATATATCTTTGGCGAGATCGTATGTTTCAGGAAGGTCACATCTTGCCCCCGAGGCTACCAAACAATAAACATCCAAAATTACTTCGGAGGGGCCCCTCCGACAGAACAGCACATATACGAGATTTTCGGCGAGCAAACGCTCGGGATTTCGGTTTTGACAGTGATGTGCCTCACCCCTTGGCTGACCGCTTTATCGCGTTGACCCACTTTGCACTATGGCTGACCCCCGCGGCAAGAGAGAGAGAGAGAGAGAGAGCAAAAGCGAGAGAGAGAGAGAAAGAGCACGTGCATTCATTCCTACCATACTTTTCTCTAGGGGGCTTCGAACGGACCTTCCTGTGATTCTCTCTTTTTTGTTGCTTTGTTTGGAAATGCACTTTAAGCTTTACTTGGAAAATTTTATGGCAAATAACTCGAAGGTTCACTCTTCTTTATAAAGTTTAATTGGTTTTGAGCATTCAGTTTTGAGCAAGAGGATATGTTTTAACTTTTAATATGTTTATATTTAAGAATGAAAATTCATTGAATATTGAATCTCATCAAAATAAGTTTTCATACGGAAATATAATCTGTAGCTTGGGCATTTAAATTGTATAAAAAATGCTTTATTTCTAACGTTCAATTTAAAAAGTCATGAGTACTTCAGATCTGATGAAAATAGACTTATACCACTAAATATTGATGCTTAATTAGCTCCTTATTTATTAAAAATCGTTTCGGATATTTCAAGGTGTGCATGAAGAATCAATCTATAAAAGTGTACTTATTAATACTATTTTGATTATCGATGAACTTTCTTTAATTGATATTAAAATGATCAACCCAATTCAATTTTCTGATTAATAGTGACTAACAAAAGTGCTTCTAATTTTGGAGAAGTAGCTCAATTTGAATTGCTGTAATTTATTACAATATCAAAGAAACTCGCTGTTAAAGTAAACTTCGTCAATTCATTAGTTGATGGACGTTGCGCAAAAACACGAGGGGGGAAAAAGATCGCCGCTTGACTTCGGTTCGTCCGGGTTATTAATTCCACAAAGCGCACGCTCATACCTCAAGCATATATAACCAGACACACGTGCGCGCGGGCGTCGGTAATACTCTCAGCGATATTATTAGTTGATGGCAGCAACGATGACGCTCGATACAAATTTCATGTGTAATTCAATAAATAAACAAAGGCGAAATGAAAAGCTGAAGTAGCCCAACGTGAAATGAGATTGAAGTAAATATATAGCGTCAAGATACATCCGATAATTTGGTTAAATCGTTATACCTTGGAGCCAACAGCAAATTGAATGACGGATATTCAACCATTTATTCGTTTACTTCTCGTACCCTCCTTTTATCGGGATCTCATTAGCCAGGCCCATAGTATGAATTCAGCTATAAGCAGCTGCGGACAAATCCCTGTCTCTCTTTGTATTTTCTGAATACGCCAATCTTATATAAATATTCTTTGCTTGAGGCGCGTACGCTGTTCAAGTCTCCCCTTTTTCGTTGCGCGCTATAGCTCTTTCCTGTTTCTTTCCCTCTGCTTGTCGTCTTGCCCCGTCGAATTTCCTTTAGGGTCGTTCTATTCGCTCGCTCGAGAGCCCGACCATTAACCGCCTGATTTGTTAAGGATAATACTACTTGTCACTGATATTAAAGGAACCTGTTGAAGGCGCCGATATCGTTTGCGTTTATTCCTTCTTTGTATTACTCGCTCGTTTTTCACGTAATTGGAGGATTCGAATGCGAAATCTTTGAAATGGCCTCGTAATGAGGGTCTAGCGGTGAATAAGCATCCGAGTTTTTCATTTCGGAGTGCTGTGTATCGCAAAAGCTCTAGAAAAATC